AGTGGATTGACGCGTAGGAAAGTGGATTGTGCTGGAGGTGGTGTTGGTGCCGTTCTTGTCCTATTCTTGCAATGTCGGTTGTTTTGGGGTATTTATAAAAAGTGAATGTGTTTCCGCAACACGGACAACTTATGGTGTTGTTCATATTGTCCATTACATTCAAGTTCTTACTAATGTTTGATGGTCTGTCGTAATTCATGTTCATAAACATTTTAATCACGTCATCTTCTTCGTCATCGTTATTATCATCCCCATGAATAGCCACATTTCTATAATCGCTGGAACTTTCAAGCGACTCACATTTTCTCCTCGGTTGGCTGTAGAATTCAGCTGAATCGCCGTATTTTAATGACGATTTTTCTATTTCTTCTGCATCACTGAAACTTTTTGAACCGCCCAAATACGGTACGTACATTGCCAAAAGTTTTTTATTTGCATTTTTCACCGCGTTCAAGTTTGTATACATGCTGTGAGGATAGTTGTTATTGACGCTGTCGCTTGTGACGTTGCTGCTGCTGCTGCTGCTGATTTTGTGGTTGAAAGTGCACTGGACACTTTTATTTGCTCTTTGTTTTTTACTTTTGATGTTATGTTTAGTCGATAGTTTATTCATTGATTTGGAACATTTAGAGTAGAGAACAATGCCGTTAACGTCGATGACGTCATCTTCATTTTCGTCGTCACCATCGTTCATGTCTCCAACATCCACAGTTCCCCAGATTGGTCTCGAGTTGTAGTAGCCAACCTTGTCTTCCATCTCTAAGCGATCCCTTCTTACGGGAAATTGATAATTAGTCATCTCCAGTTTGGATTTGAAATTGAATTTGGCCGCCATCTTGCAAGAGCTGCACGGACAGCCGACTCCGGGTGAAGTTTTGAAACTGTTGACAGTTGACTGAGCCAGCCAATCCTGCGTTTCAAGGGAAGGGGAAGGAAGAAGGACGAGAGGAGGTCGAGGGAGGGATAAAAAAAATGAAGACTTCAGTTGCTCCAGTTGGTGCTTCTCTGCAACTTTCTTCTTATTCTTACCGCTCCATAGCTTATAAAATAACAGTATAAAAAATGTTTAAAATTAAATCTGGAAAAAAAATATTATATTTTGGAAAACTTTTTGAAAAAATTTAATGTAAAATGTTTCTAACCATCGAAAAAATACTTGAAGTTGCAGCCGCGTTGACAACATTTTTTTCGCCCCTTTCTCTGTATTTGCTATCGTCAGTGCCATAACCTGCAAGAGTTGCATGCGGGAGTGTGGCTGATTTGATACTTCGAACCCTATCAGCTGTGTTGTTGTTGGAACAGATGGGGCTTGAAAACTTGAAAAGTGGAGATTCTCTGTGAGATGGAGTTGGTGGGACCGACCCGAAAAGGTTGTGCTGGCGTGTGGCGTTCGATGCTGGCCCCATACCTGCTAAGACGTTTGACACCGATCTGGAACGGGATGATGTCTTTAGCGGGGGAGGTGATGCAGAAAGTTTTCGGTTGAAAAAACTCCATTTCGTTAACTTTTTGCTTGTCTTCACGTTGTCGGCATTGCCATTACTGCCTCCTGTAGAGCGAGTGTTCTCATGATTTGTTGGGAAGATTGATAATGCGGCCGGTGTGCTACTTTTTCGCAGCGAGTTGTGAGCAAGTCTGCGAAAACTATTGCTGTCGTTGTTATTGTGGCTGCTGCTCGTGTCAATGTCGTCACCGTAAACATTTTTGGACTGTTTTGATTTTGACCCGATGGGCGGTTTTTTGCTGGTCCACTGCGATATGTCGACGCTTGCTGAATCACTTTCACAAACGTTATTGTTCTCAACATTGTTGCTGCTACTACAGGCATCAATGTTGCAGCTACTACCAACCACATTGTTGCAGCTACTACCGACCACATTGTTGCTGCGATTACTTTCAACATTGGCAGGATTATTCAAGCTGAAACGATTACATGTCGCTTTATCCCTGGTCGCTGGTGAGAACTGAGTGTACACTGATGTCGTTGGTAGGGAGGAGGAGGATGAGAGCAATGATGGTGACGACGATGGTGGTGGTGGTGGTGGTGGTGAGGTTGCAGGTGAGGGGATGCTGAGGTTGAAGAGATTCATCTGCACGTTGGAGTCCAGCTCCTGCCCCATCGAACATGACCTCGATCTCTCAAACTGCAGGTCTGTTGCAGAATTCAAACACGGTGATGACGAAGATGGTGGTGGTGGTGATGATGGTGATGGTGGTGATGATGATGATGATGGGGGTGATCGTGGTGGTAATGATGATGATGGTGGTGGTCGTGATGGTGATGATGG